GGGTCAGAGGGAGAAGCAGACTCCCTGCTGAGCAGGGAGCCCGATGCAGGACTCGATCCCAGGACTCCAGGATCATGACCTGAGCCAAAGGCAGTCACTTAACCGACTGAGCCACCCAGGCGCCCCTAAATGTGTATTTAAACTACTGATAAAATTTCAACATATAAAGAACCTAAGGAGACTTTTTTCATTCCAGTTACAACTAGAACGCTCACCTACATTCAAAAGTGAGTATTAACGTATCGACAACATTGCAATAACAAGCCTCATTCACACCGCCGACATCTATGCTCTGACTGGAGACCATGGTTACTTATGTAATCCCACATTCATGATAGCATACAAGTTCAGAGAGGCCAGAAACGATGTTGAAGAAGTCATATGACTACTTGGGTTTCCAGAGGCTGAGACCAAAACCAAAGCCAAATGGCAGATTTGGGCCAAAGAGAAGGCTGAGGCCACTGGGTCCCACCCCTAATAAAGAGGCTAATTGCAAGGAGCAGGAGATGAGCCTTCTGGATAATTCTCCGGGCAGGAAAGGCAACATTTACCATCAACTGACCCAAAGAAGATGTCTGCAGTTTATCACCCCACTTCCCATTTAATGTTCTACTAACAGAAAAATGATAAAACCAGAAAAGGGGAAGCAACTGAAAAGAAGCCACCCTCCACAAACACTTCCTCTTGGTTGAGCTAACCCATAGGGCATACCACACACCTCATGTATCTCAACACGGCTCACATCACATATACCTAACACTTGAGAGTTGTCAAACTACTCAGATGTACAGTTGTCAGGGACCACACTTAAGGATAGAAAAGACCTGGGAAAATCCCAAGAGAAGGCTTTGCGGTTTGCTTACATGAATTTAGAGATTATTGTTATCTGCATCCAGACAACAGAAATTCAGAATGTTATTATCAGGTCGATGTTTTTGGAGTCTGACAAGTCCTTTCCTCTGCGCTTTCATTCTCCCTTAACCATCAATTATTACCAAATCTCTTATGACAGACGGGGGCATAATAACGAGAAAAAGGCAACATTTTCAGAGTATTTTATCAAACACTAATGAGACTGAGCTTTTACTCAACTGTAAAATAGGGTTCTAAGTATCACTCACTCACATGTAGGTGGTTTTTGGAATAGAAAGTGCTATTTCTTTTGCCAAAGAAACCTGGATTCCATTGTGTTGGATTTAGATCTGCTAGAGACTGTTCACTGGCTAAAAAAATACAATAATCATTGCGGGCTGGGAAAGATTAACACATAGTCTGTATATTTCAGAAAACTGTCCTCACTAGAGCACAAAGTTGGGTTTTCATTATGAGACAAGTCACATAAAAAGTACACCCTTGATGCTTTTTGTTGTTGCTATTGTTCTTTTTCATTTTTATTCAGACTTCCAGGTAAACTTGAAGTTGTTTGATGTAAAATCAGGAAGTCAGGTTTAGAGGCTGCATTTCTTAGAAAGCGTCCCTGCTTCTTGCAGTAGCCCCTTCTGTTTTTTAACAGATCTAATTCAAGTTTAGCCAGTACAAGTCTCTTAAGAGTGAAGCTTGGGGTGGACTGGCGGGGGGAGGGGGACGGCCTGTGGTAAGCCGTGTCAGTGGCCCGTGGGGGCCTGGCTCAGAATCCATGCTATCGTGAGCCTTCCTGAAGCTAGCTGACTTAGTTCTCTGAGGGTCACCAACTCATCCTGTTTGCCAGGGGACTTCCCCAGTTTTAGCACTGAAAATCCCATCCCAGGCAAACCGAGATGGTTATCACCTAAGGATTTACCTCCCTTGCTTTAAGTTGTACCATACACATCCTGAGTGGGATTCAAATCATTGTAAACTTTTCAAGTTAAACATACGTGCTTTGCAGCCTTTGTCTCTTTACATCACCTACCACAGTATCTTTTCCTACCACTGAATAGGATTCCCACCTAGTTACCACAAAACCCTTAAATGAGGCAAATGTTTCTACTCTTAAAAATCTTTATTTTTCCACTTATTTTTTAAGAGAAAAAAATTCAAATTCACACAAATGGTCTTGAATTTTTTTTAAAGCTCTCATTTTGTTTGGGTGAGAAATTTTTTTTTTCCTGTGCTTATAAAACTTGTTTTGTTGGGGGATAATCATTTATCTAATTGAGTTAGCTTTGCACTTCTCCCTCAAGCCCTGGTCCCTTGCCACGTATTTGAGTGTACATAGAAAAACATACACCAAAATCCTCCCAGAAGGAAACAAACCAAACTGTCCCGAGATTACCGACTAAAGTCACTGATAGTAAATAAAATTCTTTCTAGCTTAATCTGAATTAAGAATCTTATGTTCATAATATTTCTATGGAGTTAGTAACTGTATTAGTTTCCTATTGATGCTGTAACAAACTGCCACAAATTTAGTGGCTTAAAATAACACAGATATATTATTGTATAGTTCTGGAGGTCTGAAATCCAAAATGGGTCTTGTAGGCTAAAATCGAGGCCTTGGCAGGGCTGCATTCCTTCTGGAGGCTCTAGAGGGAATTCTGGAATTCCAGGAGGAAAACCCACCTGTTGCCTTTTCCAGCCTCATTCCTTGGCTCATAGCCTCTAGCTAGCAATCTTATCACTCTGACCTGTGCGGCTGTTGTCACAGGCCTTTTCTGACTGATGCTTCAGCCCCTCCTGTCCATTTTTTAAAGGACCCTTGTGAATACGCTCACCTGGATAATCCAGGACAATCTCCCCATCTCAAAACCCTTAATCACATTGGCAAAGTCCCTTTTGCCACAGAAGGTAACAAAGTCCCAGGTTTCTGGGATTAGGATGGGTATCTGGAATGGGGGGCATTATTCTGCCTCCCACAGTCATTAAGACACCATCTTAGAAAGTTACCAGATTTGACACTAATGGGACCATATCTCTGGGTCTTATTTTCCTGAGTCTGTTGTATAATCCTTCCAAATATTTAGAATCTAATAGTTTGTAAGTAAATTTGAAAAGATAATTGGTTACATTGTATGCTAATGTCAGGGAACAGGACAAAACAACTCAGTTCTAGTCATTTGCAGAGTGCCACAGTACCAGAGGAGAGAGTCTGACTGGCCCTTTTGGGTTAGGTTCCCTATGTGGTTCAATTGATAAAGTCACATAGTATAAAAATGGCTGCTGGGGCCACATCTGTGAGGGAGGGGCAGTTTTCGGAGGAAGAGTGTTGTGGTAAACTGGCTTAGTGTGCAACGGAGGAACCAGGTGATCCAGCGTTAGAACTTAATCTAAATTAAAAATAAGCTCTGTGCAGGTACCTGGGTGGTACAGTTGGTGAGCATCCTACTCTTGGTTTCAGCTCTGGACGTGATCTCAGGGTCATGAGATCAAGCCCTGCGTCAGCTCCTCGCTCAGCGCGGAGCCTGCTTGAGATTCTCTCTCCCTCTCCCTCTGCCCCTCCCACTCGTGTCCTCGAGCTCTCTCTAAAATTAAAAAAACAAAAAAAACAAAGCTCAGCTCTGTGTAAGGGTCTGAGGTGCTCCCCTCTGAAGAAAGAACCTGAGGTTTGGCCCCATTATTGTGTACACACATTGTTTTTTCCTGAGGCCTTGACTATCTACTCCCTGTTTTTCTTTTTTTTTTTTTTTTTTAAAGATTTTATTTATTTATTTGAGTGAGAGAGGGAACACAAGCAGGGGGAGGGGGAGAGGGAGAAGCAGGCTTCCCACGGAGCAGGGAGCCCAATTCGGGGCTCCATCCCAGGACCCTGGGATCATGACCTGAGCCGAAGGCAGACGCTTAAGGACTGAGCCCCCCAGGTGCCCCTTTTTATTTTTTTAATTTGATACGATTCACACACCATAAAAGCCACCCTTTTGAAATGTATAGTGCAGTGACTTTTAGGATATTCACAAGGATTCTGCAACTATCACCATTATGTAATTTCCGGAACATTTCCTCACCCCCAACAGAACCCTCATACTCATTAGTAATCAATCCCCATTGTACTTTGCCCCAGCCCTAGGCAACCACTAACTGACTTTCTGCCTCTATGGATTTTCCTATTCTGGACATTTCATATAAACAGAATCATAGAATATGTGGCCTTTTGTACCTGGCTTCTTTCACTTAGCATCATGTCCTCAAGATTCGTGCACATTGCAGCATGTATTTACGGCTGAGTAATATTGCATTGTCTGGACATACCACATTTGTTTTTCCATTCATCAGCTGATAGACATTTAGGGGATCTCCACGTGTTGACTATTATGAATGATGTTGTGAACACTCATGCACAAGTTTTTGCATGAACATATCTTATCAATTCTCTTGCGCATATAGTACACCCAGGAATGGAACTGCTAGATCACATGGTGATTGTGTAACATTTTGAGGAACTGCCAAACTGTTTTCCAAAGGGGCTGCACCATTTATTTTTCCCAGCAGCAGTGTATGAGTCTTCCAATTTCTCCACAGCCTTGCCATCTTTCTGACTGTCCCTTGTTTTAATTGTAGCCATGCTAGCAGATGAAGTGGTATCTCATTGTGATCTTGATGCACATCTCCCTAGTGAGTGATATTGAACATCTTTTTATGTTCTTTTTTTTTTTAAGGTTTTATTTATTTATTTGAGAGAGAGAGAGAGAGAGAGAGAGAGAGCACATGAGAGAGGGAGGGTCGGGAGGGTCAGAGGGAGAAGCAGACTCCCTGCCAAGCAGGGAGCCCGACGCGGGACTCGATCCAGGGACTCCAGGATCATGACCTGAGCCGAAGGCAGTCGCTTAACCAACTGAGCCACCCAGGCGCCCACATCTTTTTATGTTCTTATTGACCATTTGTGTATCTTCTTCGTAGAAATGCTATTCAAATCTTTTGCCCATTTTAAATTGGGTTGTCATTTTACTGATTAGTTAGAAGAGTTAAAGAACTCTTTGTGCACCTGGCTGGCTCAGTTGGTAGAGCATGCGACTCTCAATCTTAGGGTCATGAGTTCAAGCCCCACATTGGGTGTGGAGCCTACTTAAAAAAAAAAAAAAAAGAAGAGTTAAAGACTCTTACTTAGGATATTTAAGATACTAGACCCTTATCAGATACATGTTTTGTATTTTTCACATACTGTGGGTTGCCTTTTCATTTTCTTGACAGTGTCCTCTGAAGCACAGAAGTTTTAAATTTTTTCTATTTTTCGTTTTGTCACCCACCTGTGCTTTTGGTGTCATGTCTAAAAAACCACTGACTAATCCAAAGTCACAAAGATTTACACTTATGTTTTCATCTGAGTCTTGCAGTCTTGCTCTTACACTTCAGTGTTTGATCCATTTTGAGTTAATTTTTATATATGGTAAGAGAGACAGGGGTCCAACTTCATCATATGCATGTGGCTATCCAGTTGTTCCAACACCATTAATTGAAAAGACTATTCTTTCCTCATTGAATTGTCTTCGCACCTTTACTGAAAATCTCATTTTTTAAAAACTAAACTCCCATGGTTGTTCAGTAACTACACTCAGTCAAACATATGACAAATATGCAACTGAATGTGATTAAGATGTAGGTATGTGAGGTAACAGGGTGATGGGTATTAAAGAGGGCATGTGTGGTGATGGGCACTGGGTGTTATATGCAACTAACAAATTGTTGAACACTACATCAAAAACTAATGATGTACTGTATGTCGGCTAATTGAACATAATAAAAAAAATCCATGCAGCAGCTTTGTAAGATAAAAAAATAATAAAATAAAGATTTTATTTATTTATTTGAAAGAGAATACACAAGCATGAGCAGGAGGAATGGCAGAGGGAGAGGGAGAGGGAGAGGGAGAGGGAGAAGCAGGCTCCCCACTGAGCAGGGAGCCAGGCGTGGGGCTCCATCCCAGGACCCCAAGATCATGACCTGAGCTGAAAGCAGACATGTAACCACCTGAACCACCCAGATGCCCCCAAAGGAAATCTTTCAATAAGTATAACAAAAATCAGAAATAACAAAAAAGAATTGGCAGCAATTTTTCTTTCCTAATAGGACTTAAAGTAGGGAAACTACCTCTGTAGGGAGAGTTGGGACTCCCACTTTTTGCTTTATCCAGTTCTGTATTGTTCGAATTTGTTACAAAGAACATGTTTTACTTTCCTAATTGAGATGGTCTTTCAATCTTTATAAACAATTGTTTAGGGGTGCCTGGGTGGCTCAGGCGTTAAGCGTCTGCCTTCAGCTCAGGTCATGATCCCAGGTCCTGGGATCGAGCCCCACATTGGGCTCCCTGCTCCGCGGGAAGCCTGTTTCTCCCTCTCACACTCCCCTTGCTTGTGTTCCCTCTCTCGCTGTGTCTCTCTCTATCAAATAAATAAATAAATCTTTAAAAAAAGATTTATTAAAAAAAACAAAACAATTCTTTAACTTCAAAAAAAAAAGAAAAAAAAAGATGTAGGTATGTGAAAAGTCCCAGCTGTAATCAGCATTTACTTTCACTTTATACAAACTTAAGATTTCTCTGGCTAGTACACTGGGTATATTCACTATCTTGACTGTGGTGATGGTTCCATGGGTGTGTGTGTGTGTATATGTCAAACTTACAAAATTGTACACTTTAAATATGTGCAGTTTTTTATTTGTCAATTATACCGCAATAAGCTGTTTTTAAAAACAGATAAAGGGCAAGAATATAAATGAAATAACTTTCTTTTCCTAATCATTTTTCAAGATCAGCTTCTCTCGTTGGTCCTGAGGATATAATACCAACTAGTAGTTTAGAAAAACTTATTTATACATTTCTCCTACCTGCCTTGTTCCAAAACACAAGCAAACCATTTATTTTTTAAGATTTTAAGTAATGTCTACACCCAACATGGGGCTTGAACTCACAACCCCAAGATTCAGAGTCACACGCTTACCAACTGAGCCAGCCAGGCGCCCCCAAAACACATGCAAACCATTTAAATTCAAGATTTGTAAGGCTGGGACCATCTCATTACTGTGGGATAAGTATTAACAAGAGCTGGAACTGAGTTTGGCTCTTAAGGAAAGAATTTTTAAGTCCCCTTCCAAAGAGAATTTAGCAGCTATATATTCCTTTTCTACATAGAATTTAAGCCCTCCCAATTGCACCAAGCTCAATTTTGGCAAAGACTTCATCTGCCTGTTCACCCTCATATCCCTAGCATCAAGAATACTGCCAAACACACAACAGGCACTCAGTAATATCTGTCAAATGAATGGATAAAATCCCACTTAATCACCACCTTTTCTTAGGACCATTTTGGACTGAGGCAGGTGGCAGCTCTATTCTTCCTTCTAACTCAACAATTCCATCTCTAGAGATAGATGCTATTTCCTTCAAATTTTATTATTCACTTCTTTCATCTGGAGCAGCTCAGGAACCTCACATCCAGGAAATGAACTAAAATATTTTATCAAAGATTATACATAGGATCCACAAACTAGAAGCAATCAGGTGAGAACGGTTAGGAAAATCATGGTATACTCTCTGGAAGAAACAGCCCATTTATTAAAAATGATCATTATGACAAGTCTGTAATAACACAGAAAACACGAGAAGTATGAACCAGGAAAAAAAAAAAATCATCATTGCCTGTGATTTACAAACTAAAATTTTATACACATCTACCTGTGAGAATTTATACTCCACAAAGGCAGGCTGTTTGGGCTTGTTCTGTTCACTGAACAGGGCCTGGCATATTGAAGGTGCTTATTAATACTTGTTGAATGCATTAATGAAACTCAATATAAAATATATCTTTGAAAACATACCTGAAAGGGAATGAATAAACGTGGAAATTTATGTTCGAGGAGTAGAACCGTGGGCGTTTCCTCCACTTCCCTTTATTTTCCAATTCTCCCTAAAGTTGTGATAAAACTTTCTCAGTTGAAAGGATGGCCACAGAAACCCTCCCCTGGCTCAGGATGCTTCCTCCCTCCTCCTTTAACTAAGGAAGCATCTGAATTGGAGTAGGGGTGTGGCCTCGCTTCAATTCCAACAAGGCCACCGTACAGGGTGTGTGACTCCAGCCCAGGGCTCTTAGGGCACCTAACATTTAGGTTTTTCTTCCAGAGGTTGAGAAGGAATAAGCTGGGACCTCCCGAGGGGCTGCTCTTTCTCCTAAGCTGCCCCCGTCCCCCACAGGTCACTCGTACCTCCTAGACCACCTAAAGGAGCAGCTCAGTAGCCACCCCCTCCCACCTCAGCGCCTCCCCCCCGCGAGGGGTAACTCAGTGCCCAAGGGAGAGGTCACTCTCCACGACGGCTCTATCTCCACTAAGGCGGTCACTCGTTCTCCCCGGTCCTACACAGGGTCATTCGTTCCCAGAGAGGAGATCACCCCTTCCTGGTAGAGCCAATGCCACTTTGCGGGGGTCGCTCGTTCTTCCCGGCCCTACTGACGAGGTCACTCGTCCTCAAGGGAGGACTCACCCCCTCTCCACGGGTCCCATTCCCCCCGAGCGAGGCGCTCGTACCCGAGAAGGACGTCGCCTACGCCCGGCCCCCGCCCCGAGGTGCAGCACCGCCTCCTTCCGGGTCCTCCCACGCGAGTAGCGGCGCCGCGGGCCGCCTGGGCGGGGCTCCCGGGCGCGTACCAGGCGGCGGGTCGGGTGGCCGGGCGCAGAGCGTGGAGCCGGGCGGCGCGGCAGCAGCCAGCCATGGCGGGCTGCTGCGCGGTGCTGGCCGCCTTCCTGTTCGAGTACGACACGCCGCGCATCGTGCTCATCCGCAGCCGTAAAGTGGGGCTCATGAACCGGGCCGTGCAGCTGCTCATCCTGGCCTACGTCATCGGGTGAGCGCGGCCGCGGGCGCTGTCCCCGAGGGGCTCGGGGGTCCGGAGTGTTGCGACGGCCGGGAACTCCCCTTCTGGGTCCTGGCCGTGCACCTGTTGCTCTTGGCCTAGGTCACCGGGCGAGCCCCGCAGGCGGCCTCCAGGCGCGGTCCGGGGGACGGCGACCAGAGGCGGATGACATAGGCCTCCCCGGACCCTGGCCCCCAGAGGGCCGGGCGGTGGGCCGGCCTCCGGGGCAGGAGACTGCTTTGATACTGTGTTTTTTTTTTTCAGGGCAAAGCCTGGCTAGACCTTCATCCTCACCCTTCCTGCTTCTTGTTCCGAGTTGCTCCATGCTGTCCTTTGGCTTTGCCCTTAACGTTTCAATCTTTGCACTTCACTTCCCATTCTGATGATCTGCTGAGAGAAACCAAGGCTTGGACTTTCCATTTGGTTCCTTTTGGGCCAGTGGCTTCCGGTCCTTTCCTTTAAGTATCATGTGGTAACCCAAGATGATGAAGAGGTCACACTCGAAAAAGCATTTAAAGTTCACTTCGTTTTGTGGAGTTGTTGGGGGTTTTTTGTATAGGTACCTTCCTTCGCTTCATCATTCCCCATGCTGCCCTCTTACACTTCTATATGTCCTGCTACCTTCTGTCCCCTCACCAAGTGCTTAATTTTAATTGAGTGCACCCATTACAATTTTTTTTTTTAAAGATTTTATTTATTTGACAGAGAGAGACACAGCCAGAGAGGGAACACAAGCAGGGGGAGTGGGAGAGGGAGAAGCAGGCTTCCCGCTGCGCAGGGAGCCCGATGTGGGGCTCGATCCCAGAATTCTGGGATCATGACCTGAGCTGAAGGCAGACGCCCAACGACTGAGCCACCCAGGCGCCCCGCACCCATTACAATTAATGAAACTCGAGAGAAGGTAGAAATTAACTGGGCCCACTTTCAAGGTCCACCTAGGGTGTTAATGGTGTCTACAGCTGCTGAGCTGACAGATGTTATCCGTTCTGGCATTCCTTTTCTTAGAAGGCCTAATGCTGTGGTCCCCAGCCGCACATTAGAACCTTGGGGAATCTTTTAAAAATACTGATTACTGACTCCCATCCCCAGACCTTTTTTTTTTTTTT